GAGTTGGAAGAAAAGTAGCTGGGAACTAGTGAGTCAAGAAGAGGAGAGAATTCTCAAGTGTATCAAGGTGTTGAGCAAGGGTGTGAGAGAAATAGATTGAGAGGGTAGTGTTCTAAGGGGGTTTCCATTTGTAAACCAAAGTTGTAACCTATCTTCACTAGTGAAATTTCTCAAGGGGATCACCAAAGAGGATGTAGGCAAATTGCTGAACCTCTATAAACACTTGTGTCTTTTGTGCTTGATTATTTTCTGTGTGTGTGTGTAAGATTCATCCATCATTGAGTCTTGTCCAAAGTCCATCAACAACAAGGTCTAAAGGGGAGTGAGTTGGTTCTAATTCACAACACAGCCCCCCGACGAGCGACGTCGAAATCGCAATGATTCTCCCGCCGCCGCCCCGTCTCAACCTCCTCGCCGCCTCTCTAGAAACCAAAAATGCCCCTCTAGCGTTCACGCTGAAGGTCTTGTCCCAATCCTCCACGCTCGTCTCGGCCAAAGTTGGATACTTTGGGTCCAAAATTCAGGCGCAGTTCACGACGATGTGGGCTTGGGTCTCGAATTCTTGCTCTGTTATGTCGAAGAGATGCATTACCTGCTCGGGATCTGAGACGTCGGCTCGAACTGCAATGGCTTTGGACTGGGTATTTTCGCAACTGTTGAGCTCGAAAGCTAATTGGTCTGCTTGCGTTGAGTTTGAGGAGACGTAATTGATGACCAGCTTGGCGCCGAGGGAGTGGAGGTGGGTTGCAATGGCGCGGCCGATGCCGCCGGTGACGATTGCCACACAGCTGTTGATTTGAGCAGCCATGGGTGGCTAGATGGAGATGGATCTGCTCTGCTGAGGTTGTGTTTACGAGTTTTATAGGTGTTGGGTGTGCAAGGTTTGGATATTTAAAGGCAGAGTTGGATTATTTTAATAATATTTCTAGGCACATACATAAGCCACATCATGGATGACGATTTTGATAAGTTTCTATTTCTAATGATTAAAAAAAATTAACAGAAAGTTATAGACAAGCTTTTAGAAGTGAGTGAGAGATGTAAAATGAAAAGGCTGCGACAACAACTAAAAAGAAGGAAGAACAACAACAACAAAAAATGCATAAAAGAAAATTTTAGCATAATCATTGTATTTGATGATTACATATTCTCTTACCACAAGTTTACTTTGACTCAATTACCATATCCTTACAGTTCTTAACTTGTTACCTACGAAGGTGTTAAGTATTGGTGTTCAATAAAATAATGAGGGTTTAAAATTATAGAAATATTCACAAGTTATCAATATCAATAAAATTTCAAGAAAAAAAATAATATTTAAAAGAAAATCGTGGAAATGTCAAATGAAACATAAGGAGATGTTTATTTAAAAAGATGCTTTTTATTTTGTTCCAAATGAATTGCGACATCGCATACGTAACAACTTTATATGATTTAAGAAAGACAAAAAACAGTATGTGTTGATAAGTATTGTTATGTATAAATTTTCTAATATTCCATGAAACTTGACTGATTATATTTTACATTTGTATTTCTAAAATGATATGATACCACTGTTGTTTTAGGGTTTTTGTATTTGAGCAGTTTACTTATAATTGTGTTACATCCATCCATAATCTAAAATATCGATAATATCGACGAAATATCGAGGATAATATCATTTTTTCTGGTCAAGGAAATTTTGAAACGTATCCATACACATATCGTATAAATATCGATAATATCGAAAAATATCAACGCCAATAATTTCTCTCACACTTCAACAATATTTGGCCAAAATATTGCTATAATATAGATAATAACGAGATGATGAAGACAATGAAAATATTGAAGAGTTATTTACACTAACACCCCCTGAGGTTTCTTGTGTTTTCACAAAACTCCCTCGAGTCTCAAAAATGACATGAACACCCCTAAGGTTTCAGTTTGTTTTCATAAAACCCCTTTTGTTGATTGTTTGTCTAAAAATTGATGATTTCATTGGAAAAAAAACTTATGCAAATGACAAAATTAACCTCAATGAAGTATATGCAATCTAATCTCAAAGGCCAACTTTTTCATTTGGTGAATTTTTTTTGTATAAAATCATCATCTTTGGATGAAAAATCAATGAAAAAGAGTTTTGTGAAAATAATTTAAAACTTCAAGGGGTGTATTTGTAATTTCTAAAATCTCAAATTTGAACTTTATAGGAACTCTATGTGGTACTAAGTCACTCATTTATCTTACCATGCAATATATAAAGTGTAAAATATTGCAGTAAATCATTATAAATAAATTATTATGTTGTGTTTAATCTTCTTTCGTTAATTGTTACACATTTTCTACACTCGTAGTGTTTGTTAGCTTGCTATATAATCAACTTAAAGTTTCATGAAAGTTTCATGAAAAATTTCCAAGTCTTTCTTACAATTTCGGCCAAAAGTCACTTTTGGTCCTTGTAGTTTGGCACTTCAACCGCTTTTGACCTTGTAGTTTCAATTCCGTCCATTTTGCTATTGTAGTTTCATAATTGTATCAATTTAAGGACCATTCTAATTTCCATCAAATTATTTTAACTTTTGTTATCTATTTAGGGGTATTTTGGTCCAAACTTGCATCCCCTCCCCCAACCCGCCAACAGTCACGAGTAGTACCCACCCAACCCCAACTAGCCACCACACCCTGTAATTGAACGCCAACATAGCCTCCCAAGGCTGCCCCAACCCCAACAAATGCACAAGGCATAAGCTAGCAAGCCGACAGCTATGTTCCAATAGTTGCCCCAAGACCGACTGACATCTCGAAGCAATACGTACGAGATCGAGTTGGGAGAGAGAAGGCAAATTGAGGAGAGATTGGAAGTGGGACTTTTGGTGAGGGCTGTGGAGACCGGTTGCCCCTCTGATTTTAGCCCAATTATGTTTTGGTTCCTTATGTTTTTGTTCAATTGTTGATTGTGTTCTTGTTGCTTTATTTATTTATTTATTTTAACATTCACTACTTTTCTTGCACAAATTGTTAAATATAGATAGATCTATGGGCGTGTTTGGCATGCCTCACTATGCCTCACTGGATTGGACTGTGTTAAATAATCCTTAAAACCTATGTTTGGTAAGGGAGGGGATTAGTTTAAATGAGATTATATAGCCCAATAGTTAAAGAAAGCCCGGACTCGCACATTTAATATAGTGAGTCTGAAATTGGGTTCGCAAAATAGCACACTCGTTATTTTGAACACGCACGACTTCCTTATCGCTTGAATCAAAACCCCACCGCCACAGATCCAACAGCGCTCCACTTGGATTTCTTCTCAGAATGATCTCTCTTCGCACCCCACCCACTAGCAGAACCCAGAACAATGTATCTTCGCCATCTGAGTCCAATTCGTAGCAGTTCCAAAGAAAAAAAGAAAAGCAGAAAATAATGAAACCAGAAACAGAGAGAAGAAAGGAAGAAAAAAAGAAGAAGAAAAAAAGATGATGTTTTGAAGGTGTCTAGAAACCGCTTGATATGTGTTGAGTCGGCTTAGTTTATTTTCATCGGAACACACCCTCCGTTGTGCGCAGACAATGAAGGCGGCAGTGCTGGAAAAAATGGAACCATCTTGCTGATGTTGCCAAATTGCTCATCTGGGATTACAGGGTTTGATGCCCTTGTTGGTGGAGGCCCATAGAAAAATGGTGGCGATGAAGCCAGTTGGTTACTGGATCTCTCTTCACAATTGAGGGAAAAAAAAAAGAAAAAAAGAAGAAGAAAAACAGAATAGAAAGAAACGATGGAGAAGAGGAGAATAAATAAAAAAAAGAGCGAAGTAAACAAAAGAGAGAAAAACAAGGAAAATAAGAATAAAATATTATTTTTTTTAAAAGGGATACTATAAAAAAAAAATTAAAAGGAGAGAGAGAAAGAGAGCTGGCAGGGCTGATAGGGGTGGGGCTATTTTTCAATTCACAAGAGTTGGCTTGTATAAATATTTATTTATTTTTAATTTTTAATTAAATTTAAATATTAAAATAATTATTATTTTTAGTCCGATACAACACCAAACATAAGTCTTTACTATTTTTATAATCCAGCTTCTTAATTCGACGCAGCACCAAACTTGGGTTAGTACTTAATCCAACTTAGTCCAATTCGAGTTAATCTAGAACAGTCCTAGGATTTAGTCCAGTACATGACTGTCCGCCGTACTAAACGACCCTTATGAGTCCATGATATCATGGGGTTGGGGTGGCCTTGGGAGGCTGTGATGGCAGTTAGTTACAAAGGTATGGTGGCCAGCTAGGGTTGGGTGGTATTGTTGGCTTGTTGGGGAGGGGATGCAAGTTTGGACCAAAAGACCCTTGAATAGATAACAGCAGTCAAGAATAATTTGACAGAAATTAAGATTGTCCTTAAATTGCTACAAATATGAAACTACAATGGCAAAATTAACAGAATTGAAACTATAAAGTGATTGTTTTTGCCTTAAAATTTTGAGCCGGAATTCTGACTTAGGTTTGCTCTGCTGTAATTAGCCATATTTGGCTCTTGCAAAATTGAATGGCTTTGTGTTTAGGTTGATTTGACAAAAATACATTTCCTGCAGCGAGGAGTAAACTGGACTAAAAGGACTCTCTTTCTCTATCGCTCTCACTGGCTCACTCTTTCTCTCTCTTTCTCGCTCGAATTTTCTCTGGTTCTGTCTAGCTCTGACTCTTTTCCTCTCTCATGGTGGCTGTCTTTCTCGCTCACTAGCTCGCTATCTGTTTATTTGGCTCGCACTATCTTTCTCACTGGCTCGCTATTGTGCTCTCTCCCAGCATCTCAAGCTCTGTGACAGGTAGTAACTCTCATTTTCTTAGGATTAGGATTTATTCAGTCTAACAAATCAGTATAACAAAACAATTGTTATGTCCTTAATTTGATTTAGGGTTAAATTTTTTGTTCGGTATTGAATTGTAAGTAGTATATCTTTTTTGTAAATATTTTTTACTTATGGGGCATGTTTTGTGAAATTTTTCTGGGTTTTGCTGGAACAGAGGACAAGGTAAAAAGCTTTGCTCTTATTCGTGTTTACAACTTAGAAAATGAGAATAGTATTCAAGTTGGGGGGGTGGTCAAGGTTTGATACCACTCTAAGCTTTTCTTATTTTATTTAGTAGTAACTTTAAAAATTTTCCACTCTGGTGTAGCTAGGCTGATTTAAACTCCAGAGGCAGAGACTGTTGGGTATTCAGTGTTGCTTGGTGAAGTTTTAATTGACTTTTGGCTCATTTCGTAGAGAAGCACAAATTCATTACTTAATGGATTATACTGTTTTCCCTTGAATGCCACTTACCATATCACAGTCACAAGGAAAAATTAAGTGCGCACCAACCATAGTTGTCTCTAAGCATAACATTTGAAGAAACTCGTATCTTTCTTGTAAAGGCACCCCTCCCTATTGTTTGTGAATGATATAAAACCATGGTTCATGCTTGCTATTCTTCAAAAATTATGAGCTTTGAGAAAATGATAAAGACTTTCTTATTTCTGTTAAACGATTGGATTTGTGGTGGTGGCTACGAAGCCTCTATGTTAGGATGTCTGTTCTATTGTGCCTAATGCTGGTTGTAAGTCTGGGATTGTGATTCAAGCTGGTTGTATGTAAATGTGGTGACAGCTGCATTATATATCTAATAAGATTAAGGGTAACATATTTGATCTAAGATTTTAAAAAACAATTTTACATGAGAAAAGGTGAAGTACTCAGCTGATAGTTAAGCGAAATTTATCTTTGTGCAAAAAAAAAATGGTGTATGCTTAATAGTTTTCTGCTTTGTTGATGCTGAGTTTTAAAGGGAAACTTAAGTTGACATTATAGTTGCTTTGCTGCTTTGCTGTTGCTGAGCTTTATTGTTGTTGTCTTTTATTTTTCTATATGCAGGTTCTTATATATCACTAAATACGATATCTTGCTACGGTTGGAAACATTTTCATCTTAACTCACAGGTTTTGCACTTTTAGCAATTGTTTATGTTTCCTGAATTTGGGGCTTCTAATGTTGGTTGCTTGTGTTTCGACTTGTACATGTATGTTAATTTCTTCCAGAGATGTTTGCTGTTTGGCCATCGGTTGAGATTTTCTTTTCTCTGCCATTTTGGCTTGCAAGGTGATGTTTCAGTTATAAACATTGTGTGAAATTTAATGTTATGGGGTTGCACAGCTGTGTAGTTAGTAGGTTTATTTTGTATTGCAGGGCTTGTTTGCTTTCCTTTGGTTGCTGGGGAAAAGTGAGCAGGAGCATCTACAGGGCTCCTCAAGAGTACTTGGGCCCATTAGTCAATTGGGCTAGGGTTCTAGTTCCTTTAAATATTAGTTACTTCTTTGGTTTTCCTATTCTAACTAGGATTTGGTTTAATTTCCTCTTTTGGTTTTTAATTTCCTATGTCAATTAGGTTTTCTGCACTCTAGTATAAATAGGCTATTAAGAGACTCTAGTATTCAGTTTTGTTGATGAATATAATTTCCGACTTTTAGTCTATAGAGTTTCTATTGGGTTTTCTGCACTCTAGTATAAATAGGCTATGAAGAGATTCTTGTATTCAGTTTTGTTGATGAATATGATTTCAAACTTTTAGTCTATAGAGTTTCTATTTGGATTTTTGCCCTAGAACTCAATTATCTTCATTCCAACTTCTATTCTATTGCTCTATCCTTCAATTCTCCGTATTTTGGCTATGTTTGGGAATCTGGACAGTAGCTTATAGCCGCTGCCCTGCATAAAAAATGTTAGGAAACACAAATTGTTACGTTTACTTAAGTTTTCTTGTTACGGTTGTGTAAATTTTTATTCTTTCATATATGTTTCTATTTGACTGCTATTTAAATCCTATGAATGCTCGGGTAGACGGATTCTAGTTTCATGGGATAATATGGATATGTTACCATTTCCCACAATTAAACCATTGTAAGACCAAGTTCAAAAAATAGCATGGATTAGGGGATAGGAGGATTATTGTAGTAATTTACAGCATTTTCAAATGGACAGCATTTCAAAAACGCTATGAAAGGAAACATAGCATGTTATAAGTGCTATTTGTTATATATATATAATAGTGTTTAAGAAACAAAAGAGTCTTTTATAGCATGTCGAAAACGATATGGAAACTCTTGCGCTATTATAGCGTCGGCTGTTGGAGCTTTTTTGAAAACGCTATTATATCCTATTGTAGCGTTTTTGACGTGCTATCGATGAGGATATGTGGTGTAGTGTCTTTTTGAAAAACTGCCCGAAGTATTTGCTAATTTAACATTTAAGTGGAGTTCTAAATGTGACGTGAATATTCTACTAAAATGGTTGGACTTTTAAGCACTTGAAAGAAGTTTACAGATTGGGTTAATTAGTTGGTAGTTAAGTGGACAATCATTGTGCATGGTCAGTTGGTCAAGCACCATTTACCTTTCAAGAGGGCATATTTTTTCTTCCTTATATCCATCATCATGTGTCTACCCGTAGCAATTATCGACCAACTGAACTCCTAGGATTTTTAGTTCTTATTTGTTTTGACTCTTGAGTTAATGCTGTGAAAAAAATTTGCTGAAAGAATAAAGTTATGGAATCTTGGTAATACCCAAAACTAAATGAAAGGGTAAGCAGTAGTTTTACTACAATTAGTTATGAAACAGGACAGTCATACATTGATTTGCATTATTGCCTTTAGTGATGATTTTGCATTCAACAGGGTGCAAGTTTGGCTCTCCACTGATGGCGTGCTCTGTACAACGCTTCTCCAGCCATGCTCGGTTTTCTCGAGTAAGTATTGTCCCAGGGTCCAAACCTTTCCTGACGGACACGTTTTCCGAGGTCAAACAAGGTGAGGTCAGGAGGGTACCTGGCATTTCAGAAGAACAACTTCACAGTAAGGTACAATCATCATCATTATGGTTCTGCAATTTAATTCTATCAACTCATAATTTTTACTTGGTCGTCTATGGGGTGCATAATCCTATTTCAATAAATTAATCTTCTGTATGTTATGGCAACCGTGGTATGGCAATCCACTTGGGTCATTGGCGCAATTCTTTATATTTGTGTGAAAATAACAATCTTTAGGCCTGAATTTGTTCTTTTTTCTTAAAAGTGATAGCTTTGCTTTATCTGTTACTCTTTTGTTTTTCCTTCTAATTTTATTGGCATCCATGGCAGCTTGTTATAGGCTTACCTGCCAGAACTGCAACTCAACAAGGACCAGGGTAAGTTGGGAGGTGCAAAATCAAACTTTACGTCCACATGGAAGTATGTTCCTTTATTCTTTTTTGTTTTTGTTTTTTATAGTTCTTATAGAAAGAAGTATTTTGGCTATTAGGATTGAAATTTGGTTGTAGACTTTGGATTTGTTTTGATTCTTAGGATTTCTGTGTTCGGGATATCTTCTATTCAGTACAAGGTTTTAATATTGTTTGCTTAACAGAATCTTGAGCAGCAGGAATTCCTGCTGAACAATTTAAATGATCTGTTACAAGTCGTTGTGTTCTGGATGTCTTCTATTATGGTAAATAATGATAGATAAGACGATCTTCTGAACCAAAAATTTTCTGCTAAACAATGTAAATGATCCCTTAGAAGTGATATTTATATATTCTACTGCACATTGACAATACTTGAGCCCCTCTTCTTAGAGGCAATACCGAAACCAAACTACTTGATTTCTAGAGTATAATTTACAACTTATGGTTACAGCTAGGTTGTGAATCTAAGACTTTCCAAAACCTTTGTAATGCCAAATATTCACAAAATGTCCAACATAACCACAAAAGTTGCCTGCAGGGGTCTATCAAGATTTGCCACCTTCAGTCTTTCTCGTGCCCTTAGCACCGCAACTTCAGCAAATGAGACTCGGACCCAGAAGCTCGAGCGCATTGCAGACGAGCTCCTCGACCTTACAAAGATCGAGAGGCACGACTACTCCATCCTCTTCAGGCTGAAAATGGGCCTCAATCGGTACGGCCCTGCAGTCTCGGGGATTGGCTCAGCATCTTTGGAATCTGGGCCTGCCTCCACAGACTCCAAAGTTGTTGAGAAGACTGCATTTGATATAAAGATTGAGAAGTTCGACGCAGCGGCAAAGATCAAAATCATAAAGGAGGTTAGGACTTTCACTGACCTGGGACTGAAGGAGGCTAAAGAATTGGTGGAGAAGGCCCCTGTTGTGGTGAAGAAAGGTGTGACCAAAGAGGAGGCGGGGCCTATTGTTGACAAGCTTAAGGAATTGGGTGCTACTGTGGTATTGGAATGAAATGAATCGTGTTATTTTGTTTATTTTTCCCCTTTTCACATAGGATAAGTGATCGTTGAGTTAAATGATAAATGGAGATAGTTTCTTCATAGTTTGTTGAAATGGAACTCATTTCTTTAATGGAGGAGAGAGAATGTAGGTTTTGTTGATTATCTCATCAAATTGTGTCACCATTTGGGGTAACACATTTCTATTTTGATTTGCATCATATACCTTGTCTTACAACAGTGCAGATTCTTGAACCTGTGAATTGCATGCAATGTGCATTTCAAACAATTGTAGTTTTCTTTTATTGAAAAGTACCATTTAGTTTTAACCTAACACAAAAAAAGTACCATTTGGATTTTCTCAATTGCTTTTTTTCTTCTACTCCTGGTTTTTAATTTAAAACTTTATTTTCCTTATTTTATATAGAGAGATGGAGGAGATGGAGACACATGTCGTGAGGTATGCAAGATGTTTGTCGAAACAATACTTACAGTTGGTAATGAGCAAATATGGTCTTTATGTTGTTAACTACAAAAAATATTCCCAAGGGATGGTGGAAAAGGGCCCTAACTCACAGGCCAGTGCTCTCAGTTTCGAATCCCCATGGTACTGTGGTATTGTGTGTATGAGAAACTCGTATCCCCTTGTAGTTTTAGACTATCGATTGTATTTTAAGAGCAAGTCCAGCCTTACTACCAAATCGGGCTAAAGGCCCCCCAGACTAGCCCAAAACGCCTCCAGCGCGCCAGGCCAACCCTGGCAAGAGCTGGGTCCCATGAGCCCAAGCAAGCCCACGGGCAAATTTAGCCCGAGTTGCTGCCTAGGTAGGATGATGCAATGCTGACATCATAATGACGTCAGCAACCAAAAAAATTTGAAAAAAAATGGAAAAAAAAGGAAAAAAAAACCAAAAATTCCAGACTTTTAAAAATAAATACCTAGGCATATTATTTACTTCCCACACCAAAAACTCTATACAAATTCATCTCCTCATATCTCATGTAGAATGGTCAGGGGACTGCTGCCATCTGACGATGCAGGCTTCCTAAAAAATTCCAGATTTTCATGAGACTGCTTAGCCTCCTTCAACGGATCATGTCGATTGTAAAAACAAAAAGAATTTTAAAATATGTGGAACAAACAAATGAACGCAAATACTTGGGGATTGTATTTTGATAGAGCATCGGAGAATTTGCCATATGTCAACCTCACACTCCATGGGACAGAGAATCTGCTTGCTTGTAAATAAATTATTATTTTTTTTGGCATTGCCCAATAAACCAAATATAAATTCCATTTTATTAACTACCGTACATGTCTTCCATAACCAAGACAACCAAGAGAGCTTTCATGCTTCCATGTTTTATGTCATTTTTGAGGATTTGAAGGTCCCTTTGGACTCATTCAAACGGCTATTTCAAAGAAAAATGCTCACCAGCTAATTCCATTGAGCTTTGAGCCCTCCCCACCCACCTTTTTTATTTTTATTTTTTATATGCATGCATTGCTAGCTATATATTTTCTGTTCTACCATTGAAAAAGTCAATTTGGTAGTCAAGAATATGCCAATTAATTACTTCGATCAATATCTACATTTCAAAATGTAAATTTGAAACTCATTGTTCCTTGATTAGCAAAAGGTCTTCAAAACATATAATTAATTATGACTTTCTTGTAATTTACACCATATATACTAGATGCTTTGCAAATTTGAACAATCCTTATTATTAATAGTATCAAATTTGATAGCGGTCTCCCCACATAAAAGTTAATTTTGAGAGAGGAAAAAGTGAGTTTGACATTAACAGAGCCAACAAACACATATTTTTATGGGAGATTCACTATTAAACTCAATATAGAAGCCCAAATTATAAAAATACCCTATATGAAATGGACTTTATAAACACACCCAAAGCCCATTTACAACATAACAAAATGGCTTTTAACTTCTTTTAAATTACAAAACTACCATTGATTTCTTAAAACAAACCCAACCTCAAAACATATAAATAAGCTCAAAAAACTCAATACGGCATCAAAGTAATTTAATAATCAAAATTAAATTCAATATGGCCAATTGTCATTTTTTGGGTTTTTTTTTGGTTTATTTATAGAAATTAAATTGTGTATGGTTTATTTATAGTTTTAGTGCTAAGATTGGGTATTTGACTAAATATCTCTATTTGTATTATAATATTTGAAGTATTACACATGCAATGTAACTTATTAAGTGGGCCTGTATAATGAAAGAGGGTGATCAAGTAGAAAGTGACAATAAGTAAATTAAACTTACGTTTAGTTTAATAGTGAATTTACGTACACTAAAAAACTAGAGAGTTGGAGTATTATATATATGTACGTACGTATTTTTTAATATACTTTTCACAGATATGTAAAATATATGTCTTTAATATTAAGCATACAATATACGTATTATACACGTACGTACATATTCTTTACGTTGAAGACATTTTTTACAACATAAACTGGGGCCTTTGCCTCTCCTCCCCTAACCCCCCATCTTGTTCCTATCTTCCTCCTCTCTCTTCCCTCTCAATCCCTCACTCTTTCTGTATACCCCTTTTTTCCTTCTCCTCTTTCCTTCCCTTTCCTTTCCCGTGGATCTTGGTTTTGTTTTTTATTTTTGTTGTTTCTGGCTGTAGGTTTGGTTGCAGGTTTGTTTCATTTGGGTGTTTTTTGCTTGACTGTAATAAGAGTTACCGGTGGTGCTATCTATCCTAGCGAAAGCGGAGGCAACGGTGTCGACGTCGATGTTGGTAGAGGTAGTAACGCTTGCTATGCTAGTTCGTATGTGATGTGGAAGCAGACACAGCGAAACACCATTGTTGTCATGATTTAGTTGCTACTTTTGGCCCACATATACAGGGTTTTGGCTCCAGTTCAATATTTGGAGTTACAATAATGAAAGTTATCGGTTTGTGTGGGCTGGGGTTTAGCCGATGCGGCACTAAGGGTTTAGCCGGTATGGTGTTATGGATTTCTTCAATTGCCAGAGAGGATGTGGAGTGGTGTTCCTATTTCTTATTTTAAGTCTATTACTCATTAAAAGTTTCCTGTACTTTTTATTTTAATTTGTCAAGAACTCTTCAGGAGATTGATGTGTTTTCTATTCTAGTTTTTGGCTGCAATACAAATCTGCCGTTGCGCGGTGGAGATGTATTGTTAGTCAGAGTACGAGTCCTTCGAGATGCTGAATGAAGGGGTTCTGTATTTGTTAGTTTATGTATAATTCTCTCCATATCAAATCAACATGTTGTTGTGTTTGGTCACTAGAGATGTTGTACCCATTTTGGCTCTTTTATGGCTTTGTACTATGCTATGTTTCATTAATAATTACTATCGTTTTTTCTCAACCAAAAAAAAAAAGACATTTTTTTTACAAATTTTGAATTATACCTGTAAACTTCACGTATTAGACACATATTTTCACAATTTATGGAATTAAAAAAAACTATACATTAAATACTATACTCTAGCTGAATTTTTTATTTTTGTATTTTAATAGCCAATGCAATTTCATTAATGGGAGGGGAAATACATAGAGATGAAGAACATAGCCCGATGAAGGGTTCTTGGAAACAACAAAATAAGATACAAACAATAAACACAACCATTGCAAGACAATAAGCAAAACAGTTCCATATCTTGAAGACCCACCTCACCAGGAACTAAAGGACATAAGAGGATCTATAGAACTACTACATCCAGTGATGCAGGAACATCACGTGAGAGATCAGAACTTTCTACTAGTTTGGAATTTTTGGATGTGAAACACCTACGAAAAAATAAATCATGCTCGTTGCTCAACTTTCACCAAGACACATGGTCACAAATGTCTCTCAAACACCTCTAATCCCAAAACACCAATTGATAGTAGATCCACAAAATCAAATAGCTCCACAACTCAACACAAAGGTTTGATGGAGATCCACCACATCAACCCCAAAACTGCATGGCCAACACATCAGAGGCCAAAGAACGACAGATTTACACATGAGAGGGAAAATGAAACTCAAGGTGAATGGAGGGTTTCATTTTCCCCCAGCAAATAATTTCCCAAGAATAGACTTGCCAAACATGGAAAAGCGAATAATTTCCCATAACTATAATTGACATTAACGATGGACATAGACCTTTTTCAACAACATTATAGAGATACATGTAGACATTTTTTTGACACCCTTGATGTGTTTAATTCCATTGGAGTCAAATAAGATCAAAATCTATTCGACAAAGTGGGAGCTACCATTTTTCTCTGTAGCATCAAAATGGCAGTCATTTTCAGGAAGAAAAAACAAATGGAAGTAAAGGGGAATATTGCAACATGGTATTGATTTGGTGGGGGAAAAACTAGAAACTAGCATTTGTTAGGGCATGTATCTAGAAACAATATTGCCAATGGCGACAAGTCTTCAAGGACGGTAGGATTGATACCCTAATTTTTCCCCGCTGTTTTTTGTCGAATGCGTACGGCATCTTCTTAGCCTTCCGAAATACCAAAGGATGCGTATAAATTAAGTACCAAAAATCAAACAATTTTCACAAATTTCCAAAAACATGCTTAATATCTTAATAAAAAGGATCGATATGTTTTCTTGATCAAAGACACTGATTCTCAAGAATAAAAAGATACCCATCTTGTCTCTCCATCTCATAGTTCAAATTAAAAATAAAAAGTTTTTATTCTCCAATATCTCTCTTGTTTTTTGTTCCATTCCCATGTGATGACAGAAAGGAATTTTCACTATGAGATATTCCATCCCACCTCCTTCCATAAATGCTCTTCCATCATCTTTTCCCTCATGTTCTCAATCTAGTACTAAATTCACTCACTCATTCATCTCTCTCTCTCTCTCTCTCTCTCTCTCTCTCTCTCTAGAGATGGAAGGCATAGATGAGGAGGAGCTTTTGAATCTTAGCCTGGCAATTGTTACAACTTCAGGGGGTGAAAGATTGAAGAAGAGGGAGAGAAGAGATCACAAAAATGTTTTGGTTAGTCCTCTAAATTCATATGAAGGTTGTGAAGGGAAGATATTCAGGCTGCTTCAAATGAGGGAACAAATGCTGAAGCAAGACCACAAGAAGAAAGGAGCTCATGTGCTTGATGAAGACGGAAAAGGCCTCCATTTGATCCACATGCTGCTCATAACAGCCACTGCGGTTAATGAAAACAATGTGAGCTCAGCCTTGGAGAATCTGAGTGAGTTGTACAAGAGTGTTTCCTTATGCGGCGACTCCGTTCAACGAGTAGTTGCTTATTTTGCAGATGGCTTGGCTGCAAGGCTTCTCACCCGAAAATCGCCCTTTTTCGACATGATCATGAAGGAACCAACAAGCGCAGAAGAGTTCGTGTCGTTTACATCTCTCTACCGGGTTTCTCCATACTACCAGTTTGCTCATTTCACAGCTAACCAAGCAATCATTGAGGCATTTGAGAAGGAGGAAGAGAAGAACAATCGTGCGTTACATGTTATTGATTTCGATGTCTCGTATGGATTTCAATGGCCTTCTCTTATACAATCTCTCTCCGAAAAGGCAACCAGTGGCAATCGAATATCACTCAGAATAACAGGGTTTGGACAAAGCTTGGATGAACTACGCGAGACGGAGAACAGACTGATGAGCTTCTCAAAGGGTTTTCGCAATCTTATTTTTGAATTCCAAGGGTTGTTGAGAGGCTCAAAGCTCATAAACTTGAGGAAGAAGAGAAACGAAACGATTGCAGTGAATTTGGTTTTTCATTTGAACACTTTGAGCAATAGTTTGAAGATATCTGACTCATTAAAATCTGTACATTTGCTTAACCCTTCCATTGTAATCTTGGTTGAACAAGAAGGAAGCAGAAGCCCTAGAAGTTTCTTGTCAAGATTCATGGAGTCTTTGCATTACTTTGCAGCTATGTTTGATTCTTTAGATGATTGCCTACCTCGGGAAAGTGCTGAAAGATTGAGCATTGAGAAGAACCATCTTGGAAAAGAGATCAAATCCATGCTCAATTACGACAACGACGATGTAAATTGTTCGAAAATCGAAAAGATGGAAACATGGAAGACTAGGATGGAGAGCCATGGTTTTGAAGGAATTAATCTAAGCTCCAAGTCCAAGATACAAGCAAGACTTCTTTTGAAAATCAGGACACATTATTGTCCCCTTCAGTTTGAAGGAGAGAGCAGTGGTGGGAGTACTGCTGGGTTCAAGGTTTTTGAAAGAGGTGATGGAAGAACAATATCTCTAGGGTGGCAAGACAGGTATCTGCTTACAGTTTCTGCATGGAACTGTGTACCATAAATATATATATACTCTTATATATCTTCTTCTAACACAGTCATCATCATTTTTGTAATCTTTTGCAGACAATAACTTTGGAATTAAGCAAATATTGTTTACTGATACACATCAGATTATATCCCATAACAAGAAATTGACCATCTCTTGTTTTCTAGGACTTGGCTTCTCTTCAATGTACATTTAACCTTTTATTGAAAAGTATACCATTTAGATTTTCTTAGGACCCGTTTGATAACCATTTCAATTTTAGTTTTTAGTTTTTAGTTTTCATTTTTCATTTTTGTGCTAGAGTATAGAGGAAAACGAGTGAGAATGAAAGTGAATAAGAGTGGAGATGAGATTGAGAGGGAAGATGAGAGGGGAAGATGGGAAGGAGGAATAACAAAAGTGAAAACAAAAAATAAAACTGAAATTTATTTGAAATTGTTTTCACTTTTAGTACTTCTCCCTCTCATCCCTCTCTCTTAATCTCATCCTTACTCCCGTTCTCACTCTCATTTTCCTTTATACTCTAGCACAAAAAATAAAAAATAAAAACTAAAATTTAAATGATTATCAAACGGCCCTTATTAGTTGTTTTCTTCCTTCTACTAATTCTGGTTTTCAATTTAAAACCTTATTTTCGTTTTTGTTATATAGAGATGAGGGGATGGAGAAAGATGTCGTGAGGTATTCAAGATGTCTGTCAAAACACTACGTACAGATCCTGAATCCTGATGAGTAAATATTCTCTATGTTAACTAAAAAAAAAAAAAAAAAACCTACAAAAAAATATTTTTATTTATTTATTTGTTAAATAATGAATTAATTTTTAAATTAACCAGCATGGAGAATGGTCAGGAGACTGCTACCATCTGACGATGCAGGCTTCCTAAAAAATTCCAGATTTTCATGAGACCGCATAGCCTCTTTTAACGGATCATGTCAATTTAGAAAACAAAACTAAAAATATGTGGAACAAACAAATGAACGAAAATACTTGGGGATTTTCGTTAAACAAGAGGTCCTGGGTTCGATCCTAGGCACTTGCGAATAGAGCAGACTCTATTGGGAGAGGTCCCCGCTTTGCGCCTGACCGTACCTCGAGGGATTTAGTCTCCGCAGTCGCGCGGGGATACCTGGGAAACCAAAGAAAATACCTGGGGATTGTATTTGATAGAGAGCATGGGAGAATTTGCCATATGTCAACGTCACACTCCATGGGACTCATTCAAACGGCTATTTCAAAGAAAAAGCTCACCAGCTAATTCTATGAGCCCTCCCCCTCCCTTTTTTTAAATTTTTTTTATTTATTTATAATATTTAAAAAAACTAAAGAAAAAGAAAAGGAAATATATATATTTTCTGTTCTACCCAAAAGAAATTAATGAGAAATATTAAAATTTATATGGTGTGAAACATGCAACAAACCATTGAAAAAGTCAATAAGCTAGTCAAGAATATACTCATTAGTTACTTTGATCTTTCGAAACTCATTGTTCCTTGAGGAGCAAAAGGTCTTAAAAACATTTAATTAATTATACGACCAAAGTTGAACTTTCTTGTGATTGACACCGATACTATGCTTTGCAAATTTGAACAATCCTTACTTATTAATAGTGAACAAAAGCAAAGCAAATTCGAATGGCGGTCTTTTCAAATAGAAGTGAATTTCACATGTTTTTTTAGAGAGAAGAAAGTGAGTTTGACATGAGCAGCAGAACCAACAAACACATATTTTATTATTTAAATATATCATTAAAAGTTATAACCAAAATCCCTAGCAGCTAAGAAAGAGAAAGCTTCCCCCCAGATCTCGTCAAATCTTCAGTGCTCTTCAGCTTTTGGTGGACCTATGTTGATCTATACTTCTTATGGCAAATCTATTGTCTCATATCTGGGCTGGCTTTGGTTATGCCTCATCTTACGAGGCTATTCTTTCAGGTGTTGCGGCTTGGTCATGGTAGATGCACTGCTCATTAGTGCGTTATTGAGTCCTCATGCTCAGACTATGTAGCAGTGCTCGTAACACAATGATTTGGGGTCGTATTAGATAATGCTTGATGCAGTAATAGGGTGGGCGAGCTTGGACATGTGAAAATGGCCAAACCATTACTGTGACCTCTCTACATGCTAATTTATGATCTCCCTTGGTATGGAGTGGATACCAAAGCTTGCACATGCACCTCGTAGCCATATTTAGTGGGCCTCCGCGTACCTTGGCTAGGCTTCTTTTATAGCACGATAATGCATTGTGCATAAAATATACATGGACCAACCTGAATTCAAATTTGGCCTTAACATTGGTCCCATGTAGTTGGTTGGTTTTTCCACGTTGCTTCTTGTTGTTTCAATTTTTGGGATTTGATCCCTGAACTTTGATACCAATCGTAATTCAACTACACATCTAAATTTTTGTCCAATTTTGTGACGAAGAAAGCATGTGGCCCTCATGACCAATTACTGGATTGAGATTTCATTCCATCTTCAGAGGGTTTAGAGTGAAGGTAAGTAAATGGAGAAAATTTTGAATCCTAGGTTGAAGAAATGGCTTATCTCGTTGCGGCAAGTAAAAATATTCCTGCAAGTACAAGGCACATACTTATCTGTCACCGAATTGGACGAAAATTTCAACTTGTCCTTAAATTGCGACAGGTATCAATCTACAGGAATCTAATTGTGAGACTTGCGACCACATAAACCAGAAGGGAAAATCTGACAAACTACATGACATAAAATGACTTTTAACCAAAATAGAAATCCTTGACCAAAAAAAAAAAAAAAAACCAAAATAGAAATAGGACTGAGACTTTCTCGGCCCATTTGCATTTTTTTTTTGTGAGTCGACAGGAAAAGCTAGAGTTACTGGAAAACAAATGGGCCGGCCCGTTTTAATTTTTTTGGTTCGAGTTGATTGAACACTCTAACGAGGTGAAACTGTATTCCATCTCTTCGTCTCGTCTCCCTCTTCTCTGTGCAACCTTGGACTCAAAAGTAAGAGCAAAGTCTTTGCTTTGGATCTGAGACGGTTCCTTCAATCATTTTTCTTGAAGAAAAAGAAGAAAGAGAGAGAAAGAGACAGTGAGAGAGCGAGATTTGGCGCTGTTCTTTATCGTAGAGCAACAAACAATGGAGCAGCTTCGGTCAGCCGTGGAGGAGCACATGGACCAAATGGCAGATCTCGTCCAGAAACTCTCCGCAGAGTTACGTTCTGGTCTTAAACCTGCTTTGGACAATTTCTTGGGTTTTTTCCACGCTATCAACTGGAAGGTACGCCCTCTCTCTTGCTCTCTCTCTCTCTCTCTCTCTCTCTTTTTGGTTCTCTAGAAATCAAACAAAGTGCAAAAGAAATTCTAATTTAAATTAATGGGTTATGTGCAGGAACCTTGGTTGGTGGGTTTAATCGGCAGCCATTTTGTGTTGCTGATAGTGGCTATTACTTCCAGGAAGAATCTTAACTTCCAAATGTTTTTGTTCCTTTTGGCATGTAAGTTCCGTTTATTATTGCTTTCATATGCTTTCCAACTAGATTCTCTTTGTAGCTTCCAATATAGTAATAAATTTAGTATTACATATAATTTGTATATTTTGGTACAACAAGTAGTGTTTGATTTTATTTTCTGGACTGTATAATGTGTCGATCCATGAAGGATTGTTCTTCCCAGCTGACAACAATTTTTAGATTTAATAATAGTCTTTTATGATAAGAAGCTATAGAAAATGGTGCTAATGGATGTGAAAGGAACTTAGGGCTGTGGATTGACCTTTGATGATTCACATTATAATGGGTGATGGCTAAGTTACATTCATTTGGTTAGATTCACGGCATGTTTCTGGTGTCCTTTCGTAGACTTTCAGGAATAGAATAGTTGATGATTCCAGAAGCAATTTGACAGCTTATTTTAGAAGCATGTTGGGAATATAAGCTTATTTCAGAAGGCCCCTCAAAGATATAAGCAGCGTGTCTTACTGCGAGATGGTTTTATGGAAGTAATTATTATTCTAGCATGAACCATCAGGTTTCGGTGGCTACTACACTACTGATCCAGAGCAAATAAATCGGTGGATAATTATATGGTTGCACAAGGCCATTATCTTTTCCCACAGTTCATTCACTGGACACTGGAAACAGGTTGCCCAGTAAGGATGCTTCAATGGGGATACTGAGGAAATATTCTCTCTCACTGTGATATGGTAGCAGAGCTCTTTTATTTGCTTGCATTTTCAGTAAAACAATTTGGAATTATGTCCTGTCGATGTAACCTAACTCATTATACTGGAAGTTGGATAGTTGAAATCAAATGATTGATTGACTCCAATGATAAAAGATTTTCACTGACTGTTAGTTTAATTTTAATTGGGCTGTATGGATGACTTTTATTACCATCTCTGGATTGAAGAGGGAATCTTAGAACTGAGGAACAAATTCAATCAAGCTTTGACTCTTTCTAGTTGTTAGGCAAGATGCTATAGGAACTTTGACCAAGTTTCATACCCTACTAAGGATGAGGTACCAAAGAGTTGTTCCCTAATTCCTTTGCCTGCACTGGACACAACTTATTTTAAGAAATGAGGGCACAATACCCAATATTTTGGGCGACTTATTGATCACATTAGGCTCTTTCATTGAAGCTGCTAATATAATATATTTGCATTGCATGTGCTATGTGATTTCTTTCTAATATGGAGGAATCATGTTCGTTATAAGTTCTGAATCTTCAGGAAATGCCATTGAAACATCTAATTTCAGAGTTCAAGACTTGCACTCCAAAGTTGTACTACTCTATCTGCTTCTATTTAGAGTTTGGGACAGTTGTTCATTCTTTATCAGTGGATTGATGTTTTAGTTAAATTGGGTATAAATTGTATGACTAAGATTTCATGCTCCTCATTCCCTTTGTGCAGCTTTGTAATGTAGAATTGTAATAATTTGTAGACTAGTTGAGTTGGTAACTTTGCCAATTCATCAGTCACCAACCAGTCATCAGTACTTCTCATATGGGTTTATTGAATTTTTTAACTTGTTTATCTTTATTGTTTTGGCCTGTAGAATTTATGGGCTTATGGAATTGACATCACTGTTAAACTCGTTTTGGTTGTAGGAATATGTACATCTATTGCACAGGAAAAAAAGAAAATGGAAAATATAATTTATGGATGTTTGCTGTTTATCCAGATACTTATATGGGCAACTATTTTATGCAGTGGCTGGAGTATATCTTGCAGAGAGGCTCAATAGTTTACTGGGTGAGAACTGGAAGAGCTTTTCCACTCAGAATTATTTTGATCGAAATGGAGTTTTTCTCTCATCAGTCTGGTCTGGGCCTCTTCTCATCATTGCAATCATAATTTTGGTTAGTATATGGATTTGCTTATTTGATTATCTGATCATTTCGTTGCAATTGGTTGTTTTAACATGAACTCTATTTTTTTTCACAGATAAACACACTCTTCTCCTTGTGTCGCCTGATTGTTAGGTGGAAAAGAGCTGAGCTAAGACATCGTGCAAGACTTTCTCAAAATAAGCAGGATTGAGCTCCTCCTATGCTGGATTGCCAGCCAAAATGAATTTGGGGTTTGCTGTTTTTGGCTTTTTATTTCAGATCTTTATGTCTAGGTTTTGCTTTTGGTACCGTACAAGTTAGATGCGAGTTGGGATAATTTCCCCCGTTTGAGTCATGAATGGTGTAAATGACCAACTCAGCAATGTGCTCAAGATTCCTATACCATTATTCTTTTTGTAACATTACTTTTTGTACGATAACTGCCCTCTTGTGATCTCCTACAGTTTTGGTTCTTAGTTTCTCATGAGGATTGGATCCTATACAATAAAATAATAGCAATTCTCTCCTGTTCCTAAAGCCTTTTGGTATCTCCAATGGTAGAAATGTGCAAAGCTGTCTGATTGTTGCTCACGGAAGCAATAGGAACTTCATTATTATTTGAGTGAAATATTGTTTTGGGGTCAGTCTTGACCAATAACAAATCCTCAACTTGATATGGCCTTGTATTTTAGGTTTGCTAACAATGATCAATATCTGTTAGAAGCTTCTCGCAACTATCATAAGCTCTAAGCTGCTAACGGTGGTGCGGCTGGCATATCTAATTTGTTGTGGCAGTGGTGTGGTGGCAGCCCCTTGTATGCAAGTTTGAATCCTCCTCACTGTATATTATATTAATTTAAAGTAATTTAGACTATCGTTTGTTTAAAAAAAAAAAAAAAGCCTCTTAAAGTCTAGGCTTATTAGAGTAATGGGTGATTAATATAGGCAATTTACTACTTTTATTTATGAAAATCATGCATGGTTTCTTATATAATTACTTATATACCTATAAAATGAAAAATAAGAAAAAAAATTCAAAAAGTTTATGCCTTAAGGTGTGAAGGTTTACGCCTCGCCAAACCTGCATAAATGCCTCATTTTTTGAAGCTTTGAAATGAACTTTTTTTTTTGTAAAGCTTTGAAATGAACTTTGATGTAACAACCAATGAGACCAAATAAGAGAGAAGGGTTGTGCTAATTGAAAATTTAACTAAAAATTTTCACAAAACAAAACTGTCATTAATTCAGTAAAGTTGTGATCAAATGTGATTTCAGGTTTTTTTTTTTTGACACAAAAATGTGTTTTAGAATAAATAAATAGGAATGGACCTCTATTTTCTTAAAGGAATAAAATAAAATAAAATAAATATCCTTTAATTGTTCGTTTTAATGATCCAAGAGAGAGCACAAATTAACGCCGTCAGTTGAGCGGAAGTAGCCGTTATAAAAATTGAAAAAATCCCAACGGTCGCCTTTTCAAAATATAACCCCACCACAACCTTCACAACATTTTCTCCAGGTCCAGCAATTACAATAATTTGGTCAAATCCTCTTTCTCTCAAATAAAATCATCTTCTCTACTCAGAATCCAAATTCTTGAACAAAAACTGAGCATCATTTCTCTTTCTCTGCTAAGACAGCCAGTGACCATGGCCAATGAGAATGAGAAGAAGAAACTCAATGACGAAGAAGACGACGAGCCCAAAATCCCAGTCTTCACAGTCCTTAAAAACGGAGCGATTCTCAAGAACATCTTCATCGTCAACAAACCCCCACCCCCACCCACCAATAAACCAATCTCCTCCGTCCATCAACAAACCCAAGAAGAAATCTTGATCGTCGGTCGCCACCCCGATTGTAACATCGTCTTGACTCACCCCAGCATCAGCAGATTCCACCTCCAAATCCTCTCTAACCCTTCTTCCCAGCAGCTCTCTCTCACCGATTTATCATCAGGTAGCTTCTTATTTCTCATTTCATGTTTCTTTCAGTGAATTTTTCTTTAATTTAAAGAACCCCCAAATTTGTGTGCTTCTTGCTCTTCTTGGACTTATTGGGTTAATTGGGGTTTTTGGTTGCAGTGCATAGCACTTGGGTTTCGGAGAAGAGGCTTGAGCCAGGGGTCAGGGTGGAGCTGAGGGAAGGGGACATACTGAGGGTTGGTAGTTCCAGCAGGGTCTACAGCCTTCACTGGATATCTTTGAGTCGAGCCTATGATTTCGAAACGCCTTTTGTTCCGTTGACAAATAACGATGAAGATGAAAATGCAGAAGGAGTAGTCCAGGTAATCTGTTGTGCATTTTGTTTAATTTAGACATGAATTTGTTGAATGCCCAAAAGATGTTTGTTGAATTGTTCTTGATTCTGTTCTTTGTTTGCTCTGGTTTGTATTTCCTTATGCGAATTGAGTAGAATTAAATTATGCATTTTGGTACTTTTGGACATGAAGTTGTGGAACGCCCAATAGATGTTTCTTAATTTTTTCGGTTCTCTCTGTTCTGCATCTCTTTATTCAAATTGAATTGAATTGGGTCAGAAATCTTCTCCATTTGAAAATGAACTTTATAAGAATTTTCTTTTGCTTTGCTATTTGGTTATGTACAGGGTGAGAATTCTCTGTCAGTTGAAAACAAAGAAATTGAATCTCCGGATTCAAATTCTGTGGGTATAGAATCTTTGTTGTCTGATGAAAATTTTGGACTAAGTGGGAAGAAGGAGATCCCATCAGCACCTCCAATGCCTGAAAATGCCATTTACTCAATTTTTGATCAAATTGAAGAAGGTGGTGATGGAGTGAATGAATTCTCAAGCTTCTGGGCATTTGGAACTGAATCGGTGAACCTATTTTTGAATATGGAAGAATCTAGTTCTCATCCAAAGGAAAACCTAGAGAGTTCCTCTTTTATTGAAACGGAAAGGGAAACTTATCCTACTGCTCAAGTGCCTGAGGAAACTGAGAACCAAAGCCCATTGAGAAAAGACCATGGACAGATTGATTTTTCATGTCCGTCTGGACCTCTAGTGATGGAGAACCTATCCTTCCCGATCGGTGAAGTCCTTGGAGAGAACAAAGATGAACAAGTTGAAGAAGAAAGCCAGGAACCAATTTTGAACTTGCTGGTTAACCTGAATTCTGAACATTTACAAGAAAAGGAAGAGGAAGCTTATCCTGCTGCTCAAGTACCTGAGAAAATTGACAGCCAAAGTCGATTGAGAAAAAATGGTGGACCTCCTCTAGTCATGGAGAACCTATCCCTGCCGATAGGCGAAGTCCTTGGAGAGGACAAAAATGAACAAGTTGAAGAAGAAATCCTGGAACCAATTTCAAACTTGCTGGATAACCTGAATTTTGAACATTTAGAAGAAAAGGAAGAGGAAGCTTATCCTGCTGCTCAAGTACCTGAGAAAATTGACAGCCAAAGTCCATTGAGAAAAGATGATGGACCTCTAGTAATGGAGAACTTATACTTACCGATCGGCGAAGTCCTAGGAGAGGACAAAGATGAACAAATTGAAGAAGAAAGCCTGGAACCAATTTCGAATTTGCTGGATAACCTGAATTTTGAACATTTAGAAGAAAAGGAAGAGGAAACTTATCCTGCTGCTCAAGTATCTGAGAAAATTGACAGCCAAAGTCCATTGAGAAAAAATGATGGACAGACTGATGTATCGTGTCTTTCGTCTCCTCTTGTGATGGAGAATTTATCCTTGCCATTTGGGGAAGTCTTTGCCGAGAGCAAAGGTCAACAAGTTGAAGAAGAAAGCTTGACCTTGGAACCAGAATCAAACTTGCTGGTTAACCTGAATTTTGAACATTCTGATGAAGTAGAATGTCCAGTGGATGATAGAATTGGAGAAACTGAAAACAAAAATGTGTCACCAGAAGAGCCTGAAAAGAGGGATGCTACAATCCTATATTCTGAACCTCGTATGAAAGAATCTATAAACTCATATCAGCTAGATGGGATTCTGTCAGAGTTAATAGATGACAGAGAGAGCCAGACCCCACAATCTCTCTTTACTGCAGTAGGACAGCCTGAATCAGACCTCTGTGAAAGCCCTCCACTGAGATCAGAGAATAAATCAGACATGAGGGGAAGCATTTGGGCAAGAAGAGGTAAACGTGCTAGTGTTGTTCAGCTTCAAACAGATAAGAGTAGAGGGAAAAAAGTGGAGGCAAGATATGGTGATGACATTGAACTGGAGGAGGAAATCTTTACACCAGACAAGGAAAATTTGACCCCAAATACTCTTCGACTGAGGTCCTTGAAAAAGAATGGTGAGATAGAATTTAAGCATTCCAAGTCAAGTAGATCATCCTCGTCGAAACTAAGTTTAATTTCCAGTATCCGTCAACAAGATCTGATTGTATCCCCAGAAAAAGAAAACCAGAAATTGAAGGAACTCCGAGAAAGAAAATCAGTAGGAACTACTTCTGGAAAGCAAGCTAGGGTGGAAAAAAAGTTGACGGAAACAAAAGAAAGAAGAGAAAGGATGCCATTTCAATCACTACTTAAAAATTCTGGAGGCAAGAACATATCAGAAACCTCGGTCCCAAACACAGCCACAAGAGGCAGTGCATCTTCCAGTTGTACTAGAACCACAGGAAAGGTCGCCAATCCACTCCTTGTAAGTTGGCAACCCTTGTTACATTTGTTCATGAATTAATTTCCATGGGTCTAAGTAGCTTATCAAGTACAAACATCTAACTCAAAGCTTTTTTTCAGAATAAATCTGTTGGAGAAGGAAAGAGGAGGGCCTGGACTATGGTTGCAGACACTACTACTCTTCTTGACAAGGAATCGAGGAAGTCATTGCAGCTTCTACAAGGTCTTAAGGGGACTCGGTTAATAATTCCAAGAATGGGTAACAAAATTTGAATTACGTACATCCTTTGCGTTGCCTGATCATATTGTTCATTCATTACAGTTGATCCTAATAATTGTGAATGTTTCTATTGTAAACAGTCATACGGGAACTGGATTGCTTGAAGCAACGTGGCAGCCTTTTCAGAAGGAAAACAGAGGCTTGTCTGGTGCTGGAATGGATTGAAGATTGCATGGTAAAAACAAATTGGTGGATCCATGTCCAGAGCTCATTGGAAGATGGAAGACTGATAGCTCCAACCCCTCCCGTTTCTCCACAGTCTCTATCTAGTGATAAGAGCTTTGGCTTTCCTTCTGGGGCAACAAGCTCATTGCCTTTTTCAAGATGGAGTTTGATGGACCTTGCATCACCAACAGCAGAAGACCATATCCTTGATTGTGCTCTTTTGCATAGAAAGATGAAGAATGATGGACAACTTGTCCTTCTAAGTAATGATGTCACCTTGAAGATCAAAGCCATGGCAGAGGTACCACTACAATTACTATAACCAGTCACTCCTTCCACCCTTGTCACATTAATACAGGCTTTAAAAACGATTGTGGCTTTGTTTCAGGGTTTGCTTTGTGAGACAGCTGAAGAATTCCGGGAGAGTCTGGTGAATCCAATATCTGAGAGGTTTATGTGGCCTGATAGCTCTCCCCGTGGGCGCACTTGGTCATACGTACCCGATGCAGTTTTGAGAGAAAGGTACAGCAGCTGCCCTCTGAAGAAGTCATCAACTGGAGAAGGTGCAAAGGGTTTGAAGCTCATTTTGCTCCATAATTCTCATTATGGACAGATCCGTTAGATAAACTAAAAATAATTTAGCCTGCATTGTGTAATAGTTTTCTGTTGAGCAAAATGATGACTAAGTTGGATTTCCTTTTGGTTTAATTTTGGCTCTATCAATCACTTCAAAATTCTTCACAATTCTGTGTTATACATCTAAGTTCTGTTATCATCGAAGTATTGCAACATTCAATAACATTGGTTTCAAATAAAACAATGCGTAAATGAATGAGCTCTGGTTATTATACTTTATTGCACGTTTGCTTGGCTGGAATGCTAAAATAGAAAATAGAATTGTACCCCCTATCCTGATTATTCTGGAATCGAGTGGTTTCCAATGTTACCCTTTTTTTCTTTACGATTTATAAATTTTAAAACTCAATAATATTTGAAAATTACTGTTGAAAATGAAACATACGATGAAACTATTGCCCTGATATTACATGTCAAACCAATTCTTCTGCATAATTTCTAATGTATAATAGTAGACTAGATATATTCAAAACATAATTTCATGTTTTGCTGATATTTTTTTGTTTGAGCCTGAATTAATAGTGGCTAATTTCGTGGCTTTTGCAGAGACCAAAAATATAATTGGGTTGCCAATGAGGTCTAGCTCAATAGAAAATGGCATTGTGTAGACTAGTAAACTCAGGTTCGAACCCCCACGGCACACCTTGGTAGTGTGTGAGAGAAACCGTCAGCAGAACCAGCAGTGCAGCTCATTATAGGTTCTAGATAGCACCTTGATAACATGGACTCTTTATTAAATTGTAAGGCAGTTTTTTCCTCAAATCTTACAAACTCAAAATTTAGGTCAACAACTTTATTAAATTGTTTAAGAATGTTTAACCCCTATTTTTGTGGTTAATTTTTCTTGAGCCTGTTTTTGTTGGTACCTTTGTGATTTAATTATTCAAACATTTTAACCTAAAAAATTGAAATTCTATTTGCATGATTATTTAACAAATGAATGGATTTTTGTGAAGTTTGGGATGAATTTTTGGGTTAAGATATGATTTTGATAAATGAAAAATATTATTTTGACCGTTGGATTTAAGGGAAGGGCTAGATGGTATTGTTATATCCATCCCCGAACTCGGCTCAAACTTATACTCGAGTTGCATTTTGGTCCCTCAACTAAATTATTCGTTTAAATGGTTTGCCAACACTTTATTAATCGGCACATTGGTCATATCGTTACATTCTGTCAATGTTGCCGTCAAATATAGGAGTAAAGCAGTCCAATTAAACAAAATACTAAATAAATTAACTATAATAAAAAACCTCTCCCCCTCTCCCACCTCCTAACCCCCAGCCTAATAACCATCTCCCCACAACCCACCATTTCTTCCCCTCCCTCCATGTTTCCTCTCTCCCTCTATTTATCTCTTCAAACATTTATTGAGAGAGAGAGAGGCTCTAGGTTTTTATGTTACTTTTTGTTATTGTTTTATTGTTTTATAGTTTTTAATTAATTTAAAAAATAAGAAAATTTTGTATTAATAACTGTATTTTTTATTGTTAGTTGTCAAAAGTCTTATTTACCCCCACAATATAGCATGTGCTGCTCACATGACTAAATTTAATAGAAAATGTAATGGTAGGACCAATTCGTCGAATAATAAAGAGTATGTAGACCATTTGAATGAATAATTTAGTTGGGGACCTTTTGAACCAAAATGCAACTCGGGTATAAGTTTGAGGACCATTTAAGTTAAAAACCCATGATTGTAATATGATATAATATTTATTTAGTTTTGTCAAATTGATTCGAGATGATTTTGAGTCAATGAGTTGAATTTTATAATTCAATTGACTGTAACTTAGTTAAATGAAAATTTAAGGTGAAAGCCTCATGACAGGGACGGGACAGGTATTCCCCGAAATATCTTATAGGGCATCACATGATAGAGAGAGAAAGAGACTTCCCCGCATGGACGCCATTGTTTTCGTGAGAAGGAAAGACTAGTTTAGGGTTTGGAGGTCGAAGACCTCTGGTCAATGTAGGATAGGCCATGCTACACGCGATGACTTGGTGATCGGCGCCAGTGACGGAGCAGGCTGCTTCTTCGTGGTTTTTTTGTTTTTTTGCAATTTTATCTTCCTGTTCTTGACTACTGGTCCAAGTAGGAAAAAACCAGTGAAAGTCATCTTGGGCATTCACCCCTCAACAAATCATACTCAAAGATTAGGCCTTGGATGATGGGAGATGAAGCTGGAATTAGTTCCACCGAGCCAAAATAGGCTGAGATAGGCCATGGGTGGTTAGAGAGAATTTCGCCGGTGATGCAGCCTGCCATGATGATTTGAGTGTTTCGGATGAAACCGATGATGGAAAGGAAACAGATTTCCCTTGACAAAGATTCGAGAGCATCACATTAAGTATATCTTGAATCTCTCAATGAAAGCACCAAACATGTTTGAGCAAAATTCCGCACGGGGAATATTTGCGGAATTTTGCTGGTTGATTGCTCGACTTCAATCTTCCTTCTCTCTCTTACTCGAGCCCTGCAAAATAAATAGGAGTAAATAGACCACACCATGGGGGGTGTTGGCCAATGGCCCTCCGATGCTAAGTTAGTTCGATTGGATCTTGATAAAGATACGATAATAGCTAAAGTGGATGGAGTTTTCTCTTACGGGGAGAGTTGGGTGGTCGGAGCCGTGTGTGGTGTCACTTAGTCGTGTGGGAGATAGGGGAGAGAGAGTGGTGGCAAGAAAAGGGTATTTCAGGTAAGAAAGGGTTACCTTGAATGTCTTGTGTAGCCATGTATTTATAGGCTCCTTGTCTTCAAGGGTTTGAAGAATAATCCTTTTTTGGTTAGGATTATTCTTACCCATACATAGGAGCTTGGAATTAATCAAGGAAATTTGATGGAAATCTCATCCTTGATTTAGGGAGATATTCTCATCTTAAATCAAAGATAATTGCCCTAATTAAATAAGATTTAATTACGGTGATTGTTGACCTAAGGAATATTCCTTTTCTACGCATCGCCCATCTATTGGTTGCCGAATTATGTGTTCCCACAATTGCTATGATGATGTCCTGCCCAAAATTCACAGCTTAAATTAGTAGACCGAATAGCATTAACATTTAAAGTACCAAGTTGTTTAGAAAGAGTAGAAATTTGCTCAGTTAACCCAGATATGGCGTCAATCTCATGAATCCCAGCTTTCTTTGGTGTTGATCTCTCACTAGACCATTGTAGTTATTAGACGCCATCTCTTCAAGCAAGTTATGAGCCTCAGTTTCTGTTTTTCCCATTAAAGCTCCTCCAGCTGCAGCATCAATCATTGTTTTGCTTGTACTATTCAAATCATTGTAGAATGATTGAACTTGCATGCAAGTAGGTAGCGCATGATGTGGGCACTTCCTTAGCATATCTATGTATCTGTCTCATGCTTCATAAAAAGGCTCCATGTCATTTTGAGCAAAGGACATGATGTCATTCCTAAGTTTCATAGTCTTTGTAGGAGGAAAAAATTTAGCCAAAAATTTCTTAGTTGAGTCGTCCCATGTAGTAATCAAATTAGGTGGTTGAGAAGTCAACCATGCCTTTACTTTATCCTTTAATGAGAAAGAAAAAAAGCCTTAAGCGAACAACATCGTTGATAGCTCCATTGCACTTAAATGTATCATATATCTCCAAGAAGGTAGATATATGGCTGGTAGGATCTTCTTGAGGTAAACCACAAAAGATGGATGATTGATGAATCATTGAACTTATGGCTGGTATGATTTCAAAATTATTGGCATTAATGGTCGGACGACGAATGCTCGATGGTGATGCTACCACAGATGGGACAACATAGTCCCTCAATGGTTTCAGTTCCTCAACCATAGGTGATGACTTTTCCAATATTTCATCCTTCCTCTTCACCTGGTTGAATCTGTTAAGCTTGTGAAGCGTTCATTCGATATCTGGATCTAGTAGTATAAGCTCAAGACTCTGCAAAGGTCTCCCAAAACTCATGCACAAGGCGAAGTACCTGAAAACCAAAAAAATTAAATTAAATTAAAAAATAAAATAAAATTCAAGTTAAAATCCGAATCAATCTATATTTATATTAATAAAAATTAAAACACTCCCTGCCAATGACGCTAAAATTTGTTGAGTAATTTTGCAAGCGTACAAATCACACAAGTTGTTTAGAATTAAGTAAAGTATCGTTCCCATGAAGAGTGATTTAATTTACTAAGTACTGATTGTGATCAACCACAGACTTTATTTGAACAATCGACGATGAGATTTGATTGATTATGTAATAACCTCAAATTTGAGATTTTGTTGTTATTACTCTTCCAAAAAATCATATAAGGTTAATTAAAATGTGTGGGTATTTTATGAAGTTGGTTTGATGTGGAAATAATGGATTTAAGAGTTTTTAAACTCAATTTGGACTAAAATGCCCTTACGTTTAATTTAATGATTTTTTAATGGACGTATAAGGAATTGAAGTGAGAAAATTATGATTCTTGAATGGAAAAATAAAATAAAAATAAAAATGTTACTGTGTTGTACTGTTCACACGTGGGTTACTTTTCTCCTTTTCTTCTGCTCCGCGCGTCTTCATCTTCTTCATCTTTCATTTCTGCAACGAAGAACAAACAAAGAAAAAGGAAGTTTCTGTTAAAAAATTTGGAAATTCATATCTTTCGTTCTTGAGCTCAGTGTTTGTGCCTGATAAATCCCGGCCATAAGCTGGCCGAAGGAGCCCCTTCTCTCGGCCCTGGCACTTGTTCGTAAAAACTGAAACGCAGCGTTTCGCCAGGGTACTTCGCCTTCCTAAAGACAAAAGAAGAAATGCTAAGGCATGATCATCTCGGTCTCAAGCGCAGGCCGAGGCCGAGGCCAAGCAAAATCGCGGCCAGAAATATTAAAGTCAGATCATCAAGTGATAGCAGGGACCCATGCTTCATTTAATGAAGTAGTTCCTGTTTAATGCAGCAAACCCACTGGCCACAAATAAGCATTTAATGCATGAGGGAAGGTGGGAAGTGATTGAAGTCAGGATTTGGTGATGAGGATCAGAGTGATTAGACGTGGACATTCTCACAAAAATTCTGACAGCCTGAGATATTGGTTCAACAGCTATCCAGGCCATAAATGCGTCTCCACGGCCAGAAGCTCAGAACCCACGATCAAGAGCGGCAGCCGAGATTCACCGGGATTTCTGAGGTCACACCACCATACTTCACGATCCCAAATGTCTCAAGCTCCACCATGCAGATTTTTAGCCTCGATTACTCCTCCAGAGACTCTTCCTATAAATACAAGACTCGAGCTACATTCAAAACGTTCAACACCAAAACAAAGCCTCCCACGGAGCAACTTATTTTTTCTTGTAATGCATTTTCAATATCTTTACTTGCTTTCCTAGGAGTAGTGTTAGATTGTAAGGAAAATCCATTCATCAATATATCA